GAAACGGTTACACTATCACTCCTCTTTCTGTCATTGTCTATCTATATACTCTTTACCCTCTTATCCCACCAGGATAGCTAGACAATGACAAATTATATACATGACTGTACTTTCATTATTCAGTTTATCACATCATTATTCAGCAATATTTTCCTAAAGAACTTCTATTTTAATCGTTTTTACGTTGTAATGTCTTATTTGAATTTATTATTTAGTGATGAAAATTGACTCCGCCGAACAGGCCCGTTTTGAGGCTGAAATTGCTTCTAGCTCGCCTAATATGGCTGCAATTGAGGAGTTCCGTCGCAAAGAGGATGCCTATTTCGCTCGTGTATCTGAGCTGAATCGAATCAGCGATCTTGTTACCGACCAGCGTCGCCAGTATGATTCGGCAAAAAAGCAAAGGGTTGCTGAATTTATGAGTGGTTTTCATGCCATCACCACCTCTCTGAAGGAGATGTATCAGATGATAACTCAAGGTTTATTAATACCCACTTTCCCTTTAAATATTTCCTTCTGAGACAACTTTTTTGTATTCACTTGAAGAGACTATCAATTCTGCTCTAAATTGCTCTTTTATATTACAATGTATTTGGAGTGCTTAGTTTTAAATCGTTTGCTCTTGTTTTATTTCTCTATTACATAAAATCATCAATTGTTGAAGCAATAATTTATATAAATCTATTTCTAAATGCTTTAAAAGTATCTAAGTTAAAGAACTTGCAATTAATTTTTAAAGCATGAGTTGAGGCAGCGCAGATAATTCTAACTTTAATTTAAATAAAAGTGGTCGTTTTTGCAACTTGGCCGTGTTGACATGGCGATCTAAATGGATGCACCTTGTTCAAAGTCCTCTGCTATATTAGTTATCACTATTCTCAGCGTTTTACCATGTACCTCCTACGTTCCAAGCCGTTTCGCCGGCATCATCAGTGAGTCTTGCGATTATCAGCACCAGCTACAATTCGCCCTTGTCCAATTTTCTTATGAAACGGTTGTGCTATCCGTCCTGGTCTATTTATCTACTCCCTACCCACTTGTCTCGCTCCCTTCATAACAACTTTTGATTTGTTTATATTCCAATCCTCTATAGATGAGTTCTTTCTTGGCTAGTTTAGCTTGACGTTATCACACTATTTAACTTGCCCTCCACTTTTGATTTGCTGATCCGACTTAGCCACCTAATCGGATCTCCCTTATGGGCCCGTAAATCCGTATCTTATCTTTCTGGTTGACCGATTTCACTCGGTTCCAGTTCCGGTGTATGCTTTACTCTAGGCACCATGGAAAGAACGTACACTGCCGCCTCACCGAGCAGACTGCCTAGTCTCTGATTCCCATTCTTGCAGATATTAGGCATTGCTTTCACGCGTCATCTTCTTGATTCAACCCGTGCACCCTGAGTAAACTGTGCACACCTATTTCTGGTCGTCAGCTACCTGTCGAGCGGATTTCAAGCATATTTGGTTATGATGACGAGTTTCTCTGACGGTTGTGATCATTCATCTCCTTAGTCCTGTGACCGACAGGCTCCCAAAATTGTAGTTGTTTCTTCAAACAGTTTGCGCACACTGATGACGTCTTCATTTGATTTCCAAAACTTCCTCACTCGCTTCTTCCTTGTGATCCTCTTTCCTATTATTAATGATAGATTCTCGATTTAGGCCTATCCTAGGCAATACTAGGATTAGTCAAATAATTGTTTAAATATTTCAGGTATTAATTTATTCCTACAACTTAATTACCATCATTTACCCTTTCTTATCACTTTGTATCACTTATCACTTCGTATTATATATACTAATATAGTTGTAGGGTTGTATTATTATCTGATTACTTCTCTTTATCTTAGATGAACATTTCATAAATACATCCTTAATTAAACAGGTGGTGATGCTGAACTCGAGCTGATTGATTCACTTGACCCCTTCTCTGAGGGCATTGTTTTTAGCGTCCGTCCGCCGAAAAAGTCTTGGAAAAATATCTGCAATTTGTCAGGTGGAGAGAAAACCCTCTCTAGTCTGGCATTGGTCTTTGCACTTCATCACTACAAGCCTACACCACTCTACGTAATGGATGAAATCGACGCGGCATTAGATTTTAAGAATGTCTCGATTATCGGAAACTATCTTCGCGAGCGTACACAGAACGCTCAGTTCATAATTATCTCGCTGCGCAGCAACATGTTTGAGCTGGCCGATCGACTTGTGGGCATCTACAAGACACATAACATCACTAAAACCGTCACACTTGATCCCGGTCCTCTAAATGAGAAGCTTAACCGTGTTTTAACCAACATTGCTAGTTTTCGGACTGAAGCCACCATTCGCTCCACGAAAACTACAAGCGGAAAAGAGTAAGATCTTTGCTTTAACTCAAAGGGGTGAAGCCAATTTAAATTCCAGCAAATTTTACATGAAAGTGCATTTTTCACTGTGATGCGATTAAGAGGCTCGATTCATTTCAATTTGGAATACTACGTGTCAATGGTTGGGGAAAAGGTTGCATTTTAGACAAACTGAGATTCACAATAATAATAGCCGATCCAGTATTTGGGGACCGCCTTAATCATGCATAAGTTTCCGCGTTCGGTATTTTACACTTAAATGTTTTAAGTCTCCAGATG